CTACTAAACAAACATACTCAGGTTCATATCATAAATTTTAAGGAGGGTCATGAGCTTCTGGTGTTACTACTGGTAAAATGTAATGAAAATGGAACATAAAACGTAATCGGTGTAGATTCGTTAATTTAATGATATTGTCGGAATTAGCTCCTCCTCAGCTCCTTAACCCTTCACCAGGGGTCTCTCTCCCCTGGCTATAAATACTGGCTGACCCTTCGTCTCTTCCTCTTTTTTCCTTGGGCCTTCAGCCTTATACCACCTCGCAGATGTGAGCTCTCAGATACAGCATTTTCCAAATTCTGGGAACACGCTAAGAACAATACACGTACATACGAACACTCACCACAACACACATAATAAACACCACACACACTCTGTCCATGTAACTTGTACTTGTTAATACATATATTTGTTTACATATATTTATCGGTCTTGTTTGTTTTGTTTGGACTTAATTAAAGTCGATGCAATCGGCAATTAAACATAATAATCAAAACTTGCGTGAATGTCTTCATGAAAAGATGTAATCAAGACCAACAGTAAACACTTAGAATTGCTCAAAATTAATGTGCTGAAGAGCTTCATGGTTGACATTGGCTTTGCCACCAAATATGCCATTATCAACTCTTCTGAGAATCTTTCTGGCAAACAAAAGCTGGACATACATTTTGGGAAAGAATGTCTAACCTTCCTCTCTACAACAGCAAAGAATCTGCTGGAAAATTGTCCACTAAATTATACATTCAAGATTTCTTGATGCTTTGTTTATGATTAGTGAACAGTGGATTGCCATATTAAAATTTGAAAAAGCTGCTCCCGCTGCTTCTGAATACCAAATGGCATACTGCACAGCAATGTGACTAAATTCTTGCTGAATATAAAAAGATTATTCACCGAGATAGCCCAACAAGAGTTCCTTGAGTTTAACAACAGAAGTAGCTCCTATTGAGTAAGACATTTCTAGGAAGTTTTTTTAAAGGTAAAGTAAAATACACAAATCTGTGGAAGTTACTGAAATATCTTTTCACATTGTCACATGGACAAGAAGTTGAAAGATGATACTCTGTAAACAAGGACATTTTGGTAGGAAAACTGAAAGAGAAGACTGATTTTTCTAAGACTTATACAAAATTGTCAGATGGCCCATTAAAAATAATACCCAAATCCCTAATACAGCATTGGAAATCTTCAATGGTATATGTTAGTTATTTGGAGAAAGAAAAGAAAAAAAAGAAACTGCAAATGACATTAAAAGGAAAGACCTCAGCTCTGAAATGGGGGAAAAAAAAACAAAAAAACTACACTGCTTGCAAAATTCAATGCCTATAGCAATATTGCTGGAAAAAAAAAATAAAAAATAAAGTGACCATTCTAGAAACCATTTGTTTGAATTAAAAGAAAGATTACAAAGCTCTAAGTAAACTAACCTCAGCATTCTTGTTAGAGATTCATGTGTAGCACTTTATTTTCAGTAAATCAAAGTCAAATTTTTACTCAGTGTGTTTTTTTTTTTTTTTATCTCTGGTTATTTGACAAAAATCAAATTTAACTTGAAATCTTTATTTCAATTCATTTATGCACCTATCAGGATGCTTGTAACAACCCATTATTATTCGATCAATTAAATCAGCTGTCTCCAACTAAACCGAAGATACTTCATCAGGTACTATTTTTTCAACCTAAAAAACACTATAAATCATTTAATTAAAAAAAAAAAATTGTTTTAGCCTAATGTCCATTTTTCAATTTTTGTCCTACATAAATTTTTTTTTTTTTTTTTTTTTACAAAGTAACAGAAAAGATGTTATCCATTAGAAATGAAATTATAAAATTTGCTGTCAGGAAGAAAATACAAAAAACAATGGCAAACATTAATAATTAAGCAATTTAAATATAATTTTTATAATTGTGCTATTAAATTATTTCGGTGAGCTTTTGTCCATTTTTCAACTTTTGTGGTCCTACACCCCCTCCTCTGACCCCTTTATTAACATTGTACAAGACAGACTAAAACAAACTGGTAAATAGTATAATTGTATAAGCCTTTTTAGTGCCCAAATGATTGCTGCAAAATTAGATACATGTTCACTTGTTAAAATGAAGACAAAAAGTTTTCAATGTACCCCCAAATCAGCCCCTTGAATATTTATATTTATGTTATTACTTGAAGGCATAGCAAATATCTTTTCTTTAACTGGTTATTTTCATAAGATATTTTCATAGATGCCTTAATACAAACTTAATTTTAAATTAAATGATCAGTGAAGTTTCTAGATTTACAAAATTGACAATCCAAGTTTTTGTAGAATGTCTGCAAATATTTAAGTCTAAAAAATATAAAAAAAAAAAAAACACTATTCAAAATAAACAACCTATGTACATTTGTTTGTATTTCCGAGTGACTGTTTATTGGGCAAAAACTAAGAAAAAAGAAAGTGTATGAAAATAGTTTGTCCCTTGAATATTGCAAACTGAAAGATATGATACAGGGCGAGGCAGAAATACCTGCCACATAATGGTAAGATATTAGTGGCAATGGTGTCTGGAGGTCTATGTGGGAGGTATTTCTGACACACCCTTTATTTATCCCCCTCAATTCAAACCACAATAGAAACAGGCAAAATAAATAGAAAGAAGTGTCAGTGACAGAATTGCCAAGTGAAAGCATTTCATAGAAAAATGAATGTCAAGTTTCCAATTACCAACTTTAGCATAATTTCTGCAGAAGCGAAATGTCAAAAAGTCCATGAAACAGTTAAAATTCAGTGCGATTTTATTCAACAGTGGCCCAAGAATGAGGAATGTTAAAAAAGAATTTAGAAATGGTTAATTTTGTTCATGCCAAATTCTAATATAGTCAGGATAATTACAAGCAGATGTCTTAGAAACATTTGTTAGAGAAACCATCTAGTTTTATGTTGTTAGATGTTAATTCAATGTGCAGTTGAAAAAGAAAAAAAAAAAAAAAAGCAAGATTTAAAACTTTAAGTTTCAGGTGAGATATTGCGTAAACATTAAAAGCTGTAAGGTTCTACAAAGATTAATTTCAAAAACTGTTTAATGGAACATGTCCTAAAAACTCAGTTTCAGAATTAAATGAATATTTATTACAAAATTAAAAGTTTAAAAGTTAACACAAAATGGTGAAAACTAATTTCTTGTAAATCTATTAGATTTTATACAAAATAGTTTGGGAAAATCTTTGATACAGCTCCACAAAAACTTAAAATTAAGGAATAATAGAATATAATTATCCAAAATTTAATTACAAATAAAATGGGAATTTTCTAAGATACGACGTAGTATGTAATCTCCTGATCCAAACAGCAACATCCTTGTTTAAAGTTGACACACAAAACATCATTTTAAACTAGCACATCTGATATAGAAGAGCAAAGTCAAACATAAATCATTTTCTTGATAATAAAATATAACCAAGCAATTTTGCTTTGCAACTTGCAGAGACTAGGCCACAAAATCAGTTTTAGACTTCAAATGACAATATTGTCTGGTAGACAAGTAGGTTTAAAATTAATCTGTACCTTTAACATGAAAATAATTTCAAATATCAGAATTACAAGCATTTTTATTAAACTGAATTATAATTAGCATATTAACAAAGAAAGAAAGCAAAAAAAAAAAAAAAAAAAAAAAAAAATAATATATAAGATTCAGAAAATGTGAACTTTTTTCCTATGTACAACCATTACAAGTTTAAAGTCTATTTTAAAATATTCCCTTTTCACTATAATCCCAATCTTTATAAAGCTAATTATTTTCCAGATACAGAAAAGAGGAAAAAAAAAAAAAAGACAATTGTTTTTCTTTTAATTCATTTAATTTCTCTTGTTAATACAGAGCTAGGACAATGGTTCTCCACGTCTGAGTTGGGACGGCCAACTACATGAGTAAGTGAGGGAAGCCGTTAAAGAGAAAGAGTTTGGTGCATGCTAAGAATTCTTGCAGGACAAACGCATATGTGTGCAAAACCATCATTCAGGTTATTATGAGCAAATTCTTTGAAATCCAAAGAATATAAGAATGGAGGAAACACACACACACACAGCCATACAAACACACATAATTGCACACATACTGATGAGAGCTGCCAAATGCCCAGGAAGTAGGAGTTTAATAAGAGCAGAAAATAAGTGATGGGGACTGGGAAGGAATGCATATGACAGACACCACAGTTAATTCCTGCCTGCCATACAGAGGAAGAGCATAACATTAAAAGAGCTTAAGTAGGATGGGAAAAGAAAAAAAAAAAAAAAAAATTTATTTCCTCAAAGGAGGACTGAAAACCCGTAACCGCTGGGGAAAAGAATAAATGTAATAAAATTCCTTAGACTTAGTCGTTTTAAATAAGCAGAAAAAAAAAAGTTAAGTTAATGATTCGTGTAGTTCTGTATAAGATTTACTATAATTTAAAAAAAAAAAAAAAATTATTTTTCTGTGTGTGTGTGTGTATATATATATATATATATACACACACACATATATGAAATAACATTTTTGGTATATTTCCTATTAATCATTATAGGTATTTAATCTGCATAAAGCAGGTGTGGATGAATCAGCAGTAACAGCAGATGCCAAGTTGTCTGTGACTAAAATTAAGAAATGTATGACAAATGACAGGGTGACAAAGTGATAACGTGATGTCCAACAAATGGTAGGAGGTCCACCAAGAAAAGCAACTAGTGTTTTTCAGAGAACTGCTGCTTGGCCTAGTCACAGTGACAGTCACTGTTTACTTAAACAAATATTTGAAAAATTAAGAGAAAACAAAATGGTTTTTTAGGTGTATTAAAAAAAAATAAATAAATAAAAATGAAAATAAAAAAATGAAAATAAAAAAAATAAAAAATAAATAAAATAAAAGAGGGTCTCCACAAAATGCTGATTATACTGGCACAGTAATTTTTTTTTATTTTTTATTTGTTTTTTTTCGATTTTTAGTTGCAGGATTCAAACAGTAAAATAAAACTTGTTGAATATTAAAATTCTCTCCGATGATATTTATCTGGATCATAATAGGAGGTTACTACAACTCTGTTTGAAAATTTCCTTCCTGTTAATGCTTGTTGAGCCTTCTGACAATCTATAACTGAATTAAATTCCACAAAGATCTGAAAAGAGAAGAAAAAATAAATTTTATCTTAAATATTTATATGAATTCTTTTAACATTCTAGAAATGCAATGATGTCAAATAAAACAGCAATACAAATGGTTACTGTTAAAATTGTACAAAATTCTTTTAAATTTTTATTTGTAATTATTGCATAGCATTATGCAATAAGAATTCAAAATTATTTATCCAGGACATTTAAACAGGAGGAAAAAAATTATAAATATTTGTAAATAAAGTTCTTTTAATAGAAAAAAAAATTACATTCAGCAGGTTTTCTATTAGAGAAGTAAATGTCTACTTGCATTATCTCCATATAAACAAATAAAAATTAAAGACAAAAAGATTGAAAGGAAATGTAAACTTGTTGCTATCAAATAAAAATTACTGAAGAGCCAAAATTCACACAACACAATTATAAATCAATGTATATACAGTAATGAGTAAAAGAAATGGATGAGAGAGAAATTTACACACTGAAAAATAAAAGCTGTATCAAATCATATTTGAAACCTTACCTTTCCACATCCTGGCACATCAACACCTTTGATTGGACGTGGGATCTCAAGACTATGCACCATACCATATTTGCCACATTCTTCTTTGACATCTTCAACAATATCTGCACAAAAAAATAAAATAATAATGCATCTAAAATAAAATAAAGAAGCATAAACAAAAATACTGATAATTAAACATTCAGACCTGATAAACAATGTCTCTTTTTTTTTTAACTTGTAGATAAATTTGTATTTAGTACTATGAATAAAGTTCATTAAAATGAAAATCTAAATACTCATTTCTGCAAAATGCAACAGATTTAAAACTCGTATAAATGCAGCATCTTGTTACTTGAGAAATATTCTTTATCAGTTGTCAGAGCCATTTACTGCTGTTCTAACCATTTAAATTGCATTATAAAAAATATTGTATTGTAATGTATAATAATAATATAGAATAAAAAATAATATATACGAATAAAATACAATAATATAAGTGCAAACCTTCATATTCTTCTTCATCTTCTAACTCATCAGGTGTTACCATGTTCATGAGGCATAAAACTTCAGTTGGTGGCCCAGCACCTTGGTTTAAGTTCAAGCCTGGGATCTGGAGCTGAACAGGCTAAAAAAATAACATTTTTTTTTTTTTTTTTTAAAAAAAGCAGTCATGTAAATTATTACTTTCTATCTAAGAATCACTATTTAGTTCAGAATTACATTTACCTATAATTGAGAAAAAAAAGTTAGCATTTTTTAAATTAGTTATTCAAACTGAGATTATCTCATGATCATGCAATATTGAATCCAATTTGCTATTAATGTTTCTAAAATATAACTTTGGAATATATTTGGAAAACAAACTCAGAAATGGTCATTCATATGTGAGCAGAATTTACACAAGAAAAATACTTTTCATCAGGATGCATTGGTTATACAAAAAAACAAATTCCTTTAATCACAAGTCTCTAACCTCTGCAAAATGTTAACTATAGAGAAAAGTTCTTTAACATGATAGTTTATATTTTAACAGTTCAAGTAAGTCAAGTTACCAATTTTAAAAATCGGACATAATGGATTTCTCAAAGGACAGCAATAAAAATAAAATATACTTACATTCTGAGCATTCTTTGCACCAACGCTTGCTCTCTGTACAATTAACTTTTTATCTCCAAGCTGCATACCATTTAATCCTGCACAGGCCTAAGGGAGGGGAAATAAGCAAAAGTGGTAAGAAACAATTTTGCTATAAACAAATTAAGCTCTAAAAATTGGCAAAAACCAAGAAATAAAACCAAAATGTAGATTTTAATATTTACTTTTTCCTTATTAACCTAAGAGTGGATGACAAATAAAAATCTAGACATTACAATAACAATATAGGCTTTTCTTTAAAAAATTATTTCTCACCAATGATACTGAAGAGTCTAAGGAGATTTGTGATCCAAAGAATTAAAATTAACAAAGAGAATGAAATTACGAATTCCCATCCCAATGAAATTGCTAAAATTTCATCAAACTTAAAAAAGTTTTTTTTTTTTTTTTTTTAATAAATTTTGTTTACCTGATCAGTAATAGTCACATCTACATATTCACAAAAGGCATATCCTTTTGATAAACCTGTAGCACTGTCTTTGACCAAATTAAATGCCTTTAATGGGCCAAATGACGTCAACAATTCTTTCACCTGCAACAAAATTATACAACAATATAAGTAAACAAATAAACAACAACAAGCAGCTAACTCCCTCAGAGTTGTATTGACATTTCTAAATAAGAAAGAAATCCCATGGTTCACCCATTTACAAATATTAAAATTAAATCTGAATTAAAGAGATTAGTATTTTTACTTGTGAACATTCTACAATTTAGTAATTCATCTCTTGCCCACAAAACTATAATTAACTTCTTTCACTTATTAAATAATACAAAATATAAAAATTTATCCACCCATTGTTTTCAGCAAGTCTTACATTTTAACAATTTTTTTAACCATTTCATAATCTATAAGTAAAGCATAAACTGAAGTAATGAACTTAAGTGTTTAATAGAAGCTAGAAGAATTTATACCTATACAACACAATACAAAGGAGTTAGCTGCTGTGCAAAATTAAAGATATTAAAGGCATTGTTTTTTGTTTTTTTTAGTTTTGGGAGAGAGAAAAAAATTGTCTATATTTCTAAGATTGGGGGGGGCCAATAAATTTAAATATTTGATATCAAGTCTCAGGACTTCAACATAACACAACACAAATTTTTTTTTTCCACATGGTCATTGTCATCAGAATCACTCGGAAAAATGTGCATTTCAGATACATAGGTAGCATTTTACTACCTATTTTTATAATTAGACAAACATGAATGTGAGTACTGATAGCCATTCAGATACACACGCACACTCATACATACATATATTTTAACCCTTAATGTTTTGAAGATTAACAAATACACTGCCAATAAACCAACTAAACCTTGGTTCCCAACCTCAGATTGCTACAGACAAGGGGGGAAAAATTGAAGAGGAAAAAAAATTGTCAGGGAATATTAATCTTTTTAAAACTAGTTGCCAAACCAAATAAAACAGAAAAAAAAATATTAAATTATTTAAAATTGAATAAAAATTTTAAAACTGAATTTCTTACGCAATTGCAATTTATTTAAAAAAAAAAAAAAAAAAAAAAAAAATGAAGTTGACAAAAGGTGGGTAATTTTATCAGCTCCTAAAAGATATTTACATTGCATAAGCAGGTTTAATGGATTTATACTGATAAACTAATGAAGTTTAAAGTAGATTAGATTACAGGCTCCAACCAGCAAAGTCTTTAATCAATAAATATTTTCAAAGGGGAGGGAAAAAAATTCACTTAAAATATTCCTAAAACTATTTTCATCAAAAACTAAATCTCATGTAAATGCTAAATTGATAACAAGAAAATTATATAATTTCAGTTATTTTACTACAAAGTTTCAGGCTGATATTTTACAAAAAATAAGATTTATGGAATAATTTGTGTTAACCATTGATTCAATCTTTATTTAATCAAACTAACTCAAAATCATATTCAAAATGTACGAATTTGCTTAGACGGTAAAATCAAATCTATAACCATTCCTGACTGAAAAATTAATAAACCAAAAAGATCCCTTAATGTTTTAAAGAGTAATAAAAAAAAGAAAAGAAAAATATTAAATTATAGAAATACAAGAGTTATTTCCCCTTCATATGTAAGTGACAATGTGACTGCTCTCTTTTTTTTTTTTTTTTTGCTCCCTTGTTATGCTTGCAAAAGATTAAAACAGATGGTTGTTGAAGTAAGCAATCTGAACTTGAAGTGAGGCATGACTTATATATGATCAAGCATGACAATGAAGCTGTAATACAAGGCACTGGCCATTCATTCCAGCTGCTCACATTCATTCATATGGTATACTCACAAAGCCCACACCAACGTCCTTGACCAACACTATAATTACTGCCCTTCCACTCAAGCTTGAAACTGACCACTTGCCTGTGTCTTGGATGAGCACATTAACAAGGTTTTGTGGTTTGGTCAGTTTATCGACAATATGAAATTCAGCGGTAGGTTTTCAACCTCTTCCCCTAAGCTAGGGACAAAAGGGGGAAGAAACAAGAAAAGAATAATGAGTCGATGTATCAAAAACACACATAAAACATATCGCAATTTACTTAATAATGAAGATTTAGGTTTTAGTTCTACAATCGATATCTGAAATAGATTTAGCAGCATATTACAGGAATGTTTGCTTAAAAGCTAAAGAAAATTTATTTTCTAGAACTAGACTGTTATAATAAGCAATTTGCATAGGAAAATAGAGAATTTCCTGTAAAAGAAAGCTGAAATGGAACTGGCAAGAAATCCTGAAAGAGAACCAAGCCTGAAATAGAGAACTTGCCATCCAATGCTGAAATAGGATATAATTTGCTAGGTTGGTTGCCAAAGACGGAAAGGAGTTTGGAACTTACTTTGGCTAAGGATTTTTTTTCCAAGTAGCAAAAGCAATCAATTTAAAATTTGGCGACTTAAAAAAAAAAAAATAAAAATAAAAAGGAAAGTAGGTAAAGAAATATTTAGTAACTAGTCTTAATGATTTTTCCTGAATCTATTTTATGAGCAACAGCTATTGTTTTTAGTGTAATTGTTGCTGAAATATAAGAGTAGTACTAAAAATTTCAAATGGGGAGGGATGGGATAACCTTAAAAAAAGGGGAGGGTTCATTTCTAAAGTTGTTTTTCTTTGTTGGGAACTTTTCACCCTTCTTGTATCTGTATGATTCTATGAAGAGGAAACGGTAAACCCTTGTGAGTAAACAGAAGACACACACGGATCTCCAGCACACAGACTGGGCAGAGACAACCAAATGCAGCAACAAAAAATTCTGGAATAATGATGGAGAGAAAAAATAGAAGAAAAAAAAAAAAAAGTTAACAAAATGCTGTAATGAAGGACTCCAACCTCATACTCGCTACATGTGGAGTTAAAAGGTTGATGCACCATGTAAGCAGATAGAGGGGGTGGGATTAAAAAGAAAAAAAGAAAAAAAAAAAAAAGAAAAACAAGTCAGCAATCACTAACTAGAGAGAAAAAAAAAAGGAGAAAAACTCAAAAACTTTAAAAAGAAAAAGAAAAAACATAACAAATGGAACATATATGGAAAGTTAAGAGAAAAAAAAACCCTAATAAATGCTCTGCACAAACACTAAGCTTTTAGAAGTTTAAAATAGAAAAAACAAAATGAAAAAAAAACTTCATTTACTGAAAAAAAGAACTTATCAAAACTGTTTTTCAGTCCTTAAACTTGCTAAAATTACATTAAGAATAAATTTTTGAAATTAATCTAAACTCAAACTTGAATAATTACTCAGTAAATATGTAAGCTAGTACAAAACAAAGACAAATTTAAAATATTAAAAAGTTAAAAAATAAAAACAAAAAACAATCAGCATATTAAAATATGAGCTAAAATTCAGAGCAACTCAATGTTGATTTAAAAATCCTAAATATGATACTTGCTTAGATGTATAACTTTTCAAAATATTATGAATATTAAGCTAATTTATTTTTCCACAAAACATTTGTGCAGAGCATCAGAGATTAAAAAAAAAATTAAAATCCTGTTGAAAGGAAAAAAAAAAAAAAAAAAAATATGCAGTGTTCCATTTTGTTCCAGAAGAGCATCTGAGAGACTTCCGTAGACAACCAGTAGGATGGTAACCAGCACTGCAGAAAAACAAAATACCTGGTCTTCATTTAGGTAGTTGGGCAATCCACCAATGAAAATTTTATGTGGAGAATCTTGAACAACTGTAGACACAACACCTGAAACGAAAAAGGAAAAAAAAAAATTTTAGATGTGCTGATTCTTTTTTTTTTTTTTAAATGTATGTTCATTATTTTTAAATATTCATTACATTAAAAATAATCCTGAAAGATAAAGACTTTTGGAGACACAAGAAAATGTTATGAATAATATAGAAACTGAATTTTTTTTTCAACCAACCAGAAAGCATGTTATAATTTCTAGCTCTTTAATGAAATTTTGTAATATTTTCCACTTCAAAAGATGATAATACTAAAAGATGCCTTACTTCTCTATCCAAGTATTTTTTTTAATAAAAATCAGTACCTTCAAATATGGAATTTATCACACAACACAAGTTTCATCACATGGATCTATTGGATTTTCCAGAAAGTTCATGCTAATTTGTAGTCGTTCATGTTCCAACACATTAGAACACATCAAATTTACTGATATAATATGCTCACATTTTTTATTAGAGCACACTTCAAACTATCTCTTGAGAAAGAACATTTAAAATTACTTATTTCGTGTCAATTTTGCATCCATAAGAAAATGGAAGATAAGGTGCATTTTAGACACCTGACCATTTGTTTTTTTCTTTAACATACTGTAAAAGCAAAAATGCCTCGCAAGCAACAAAAAAGATATGTGCTGCGTATGGTGAAGATGCTTTAGATGACAGAACTGTACAGAAGTGGTTCTAGTAACGATGACTGCAGCCTTACTGATTAAGAACACTCAGGCAGACACTGCCTCCCACATCATACAATGCAGGAATTGGCAAAAAAACACTAAATTTATCAAAATGCACCATCCATGAACGCTTAGTGAAGTTTGGTAACTCAAATTGCTAGGGACCACATGATCTGAGTGAAAAGAATCTTTTGGATCCCATTTCATCTGCAATTCATTGTACAAACACAACAAAAATGCACCTTTTTTTGAAACAAATTGTTATGGGTGATGAGAAATGTATCATTTACAACAATGTTCAGCAAAATAGATCCTGGAGCAAGCAACATGAGCCAGCATTAACCACATCAAAAGCAGGTCTTCATCCTAAGAAAGTCTTGCTGTGCGTCTGATGGGATTGGAAAGGAATCCTGTACTATGAGCTTCTGCCAAGTAACCAGTTGATTGATTTTGAAAGGTAGCAATTCAAGAAAAACGCCTGGAATTGGCAAACAGGAAAGGCATTGTTTCCATCATAGTGCCAGACCTCACGTTTATTTGGCAACCTGGCAAAAGTCGATTTCAGCTTAGTTGGGATGTGTTACCCCACCCACCATATTCACCAGACATTGCTCCTTTGGATTTTCATTTATTCAGGTTCTTGTAAAATCTTAATGGTAAAAATTTTACATTCTTTGGATAAAAAAAAAAAAAAAAAAAAACACCTTAATGAGTTTTGTTGAGAAGCCACCAAAATTCAGGGAAGACAGAATCTTTAAGTTGAAGAAAAAAAATGGCGAAAGGTTGTGGGAATAAAAAAAAAAAAATATATAGTTCATATTCAGTTGAATAAATATTTAATTGGTATAATTTTGTCGTGTTTTAATTTCCCTTAAAAATCGGCACAAACTTTCCACACAACCCAATATAATCGTTCGGAAATGCCGTGGTTTAATGTGTTCAAATAAATTCCACTATAATTTAACACCAACAAACACTAAAAATTTTGCACTTTTAAATCTAAGCTGAAATAATTTGTCTGAATTTCTGGGATAAGGAAAAAAAAAAAAAAAAAAAAAAAATTAGTAATTATTAAAGAAGTAAATTTATGTAAAAAAGTAAATTTATGTAAAGAAGTAAAATATACACAGGCTTTAGGGCAATATGCTAATGTAATGGTCTAATAATTATAATAGATCAATGGGCAAATATCAAATCCAAATGCCAAGTTTAAGATGAAAAGTATCCTTAAGCAACAAAGTTTAAGAAATAAGTAATTTTTTTATCAATCACATTAAGTAGCAATGCTATCTAAGTAAACAAGGGTTTAATTTTAATAAAAACATTCAAATTATTTTATAATAACATATGTTGAGATAAAAATCCAAGATCCTATTTTTAGTTCATTATTGGCAGCAAAATAAGTAAAGGAAAAGATAAAATACCAACATCAGTACAACTAATCATCTCAGCAAGATAAGTAGCAGAAATACTGACAGTTTTTATTAATAATAAAGTAAAAAACAAAAAACTGTAACAAAATTATTTATAAATGTAAGATTTTTTTAAATTTAAAAATAGCATTAAGAAGTCTACCTGGAACAGCAACTGAAGGGGTTTCTGCCATTCCTGGGAGCGGTTGGTAATCTCGTGGCCGGCGAATTTTCAATGACTGTCCCTGGAAGTTGATTCCATCAAAAGCCATGGCTTGGGTAGTTTCATCTACGGAACGGAACTGAAAGAATTTATTTAAAATATATATATATATATATTACATTAGTTTATTAAAAAAAGCAATGTTTAATTTTAAAGAGGAAATATTTCAGAAATTAGAAATAATCTTTGAAAAGTAAAAAGAGAGGGAAAAAAAAAAAAAAAAAAAAAAAAAAGAAAATGCCAAAAATCATAAATATATTAACCTAAATAAATTTCAAATATTATCCAACTTTCAAACATCTATTTTACTTTCAGTAATTTTGAATTTTTTAAAACTGCTTAAAATTTGACAAAATTCAGCTAATGCAAGATCAATTTATTCATTAAGAAAAATATTAAAAATTAAATATAGATAATCATTTTAAAGTAAAATTTCATATTATTGCCAGGAACATAAATTACACATACAATTAACAATTTATATGAAACTAGCAGTATAACCCATCTTTGACTGGGTGTTTTGTTACTGGGAATTTTGCCGTTCAATTGGAGTCAGTCCACACAAAAATCAATATTAGCAACATTTGAGTGCAACTGAGGCACATTCCAAAATGGGGGGGGGTAACAATTTGAACGGAGGTGGGGATAGAAAAGGGTTGTTTTTGTGTTCTCAATCTTGCAAGGAAGGAACCTCTTCCATGAACTGTTATAATAATAATATACGGTAATTTTTATTTATAATTTTTTTTTTAAGAATTCGAATAATCTTTTGTGTTAGATTTTAACTCTCTAAATTGGTTGCATGCTGTTTTGTTTTCTTGCCTTCAAGGTTGTAATTTTTCCAGCCAATTTGAACTCAAAACCGACACTGATGAATTATCTATCAAACAAAAGAGAATTTCATCTAAATCAGATGAAAACTGTAGAAATGCATAAACATCTGATCACATGCACACACATTTTGAGAATTATAGATATAGATACAAAATGTAATACCTCTAAAAATGCAAAGTTTTTATCCAAATTTATTTGCACAGCAATAACTGGATTTCCTTCAGCTTGGGCCAATCCAGTCACTTTCATTTGGTGATTGAAAAAATCCATCATTGCTTCCTAAAAGTGAAAACCAAGAAATAGAATTTGTTTCCAAACATTAAAAAATTATGAAGATAAAATGTAATATTTTTTTCTGAACAAGACATTAATTTAGTTTCTATTACATGAAAGTGAATCAACATTTTTTCTATTGAAAAATAATTTTGGTTAACAGAATCTAATGTAGGTACCTTCAATTGTTGCTGAGAAAACAGCATAGTATGATGAAAAATGGCCCCAAAGTTTTATCGTCAAAATGTTTGTCATTAAGAGAGGACCAGTATTTATTATTTTATTAAATTTTTTAATCCTTTCTCACATGTTCAAAATTTCGGTTAAAAATCTTTTTTCTTTTGTATCAGTGGCTGATGTAATATTTACGATTAGTGTCATTGATTTGGAAATTCATGCAAAATTCAAATTGTAAAATTTTAATGAAATTTTCAGGACTTATTCAAAAATGTATTAATTTTTAAGAAAATCTTGGTAAAAAGAATCTTTTCCTTTTTTTTTTTTTTACACATGCCTCCCCTCATCCCATGCACAGACACACTTGATTTCATGAAAATTAGTTAAAAACAGGGCTCCTTGGAGAATATAAACCAGTTTTTTGTAATTTTTTTTTTCTCAAATATATAGAAATCTTTTAAAATTCAGCATTACTTAAATCCAGTTAGGTGTTATTGTTATTAAGTGAAAACACTATATTTACTAATCAAAAAATGAAAAGCTTAACTCAAAGTATTCTGCACCAATATTTAAAATAATTAAAAAAAAATTTTTTATGTATAAAAAATATTACATACATTTAAAAGTATGGTCAACCAAACATGACATAATCAGAAAATAAGAGCAATATAGTAAATTTAAATTCAATATTTCTAAAATTAGATTGCAAAGAATATTTTCCAACATTTTTAAGTTCACCAAGTACTTAAAAATGGCACTCACCTATCATTTTCTTAAATTATGTTTTAATAGAGAAAGTTCCCATAGAACAATAAATAAATCTGTTAACACCTTATCAATGCCTGTGATCTACAAGTGACAAGAACATAATCAGTGCTACTGTTTGCTTTAAAAAAAATCTATTTCACTGTTATTTTAAACTTAAAGATTTTTTTCAAATCAGATTAATTATACTTTCAATCAACTAATATTCCTCAAATAAAGTTTCTGAAAAAGTAGATTTTATTTTTTGAAGATTTTTAAAACTGAGAATTAACATTTGATTACAAATGTGTCAAAAATGGCAGAACTTAAATGATTTCTGAAAGCAACCAAAAAGTTGGTATTCCAATCAATATAATTTCTATCTGAAATACATCAGAGTATTTTGCTTACTGGATATAGTAAATGTCAACATTTAGCTTTCAATTAAAGCTAAAAAGAATGTTTTTTTTTTCATTTTTAAAAAATTCATTTTAAACCTTGAGTTATCAAAAATTCAGTGGAGGTGCCAAATTTAATGCATATTAAAAGGAGTGCAGAATTTGTGTGTTCAACAACTTGTCCTAAATACAAAAAAAAATTGCATATTTTAAATTTCTTATAGCTCTAGAAACAAGAAAATATGGTTTATAGCATGCATACAAAAATATTAAATCTCCTACACTTATCTCTTCTCCAAATTTAAAACAATACAAAAATAATGAATTTATTTTTTTTAATACATCACTTCAGAACATAGGCTCCCATTTTTCTTTATTATCAGAAAACTATTGGGTAAAATTCTTGGGTATAATGACAGCAACTTTCCATTGCCTTCGGAATGGTTTTGAATGTAGAGTAGTCCTTCAGACAGGTTACCACCCAAGGCTGGATAACCCAGTATACCTTTTTTTTTTTCCTCTTTATTATATAGGATCAATTTTCAGTTTCAAGTTTCCTTAAATTTATCTTTACTGTATCTCATGGGAAAATTGCAATAAGATGTTAAACAGACAACATTTGAACATATAATCTATGAAAATTAAAGCAAAAACAAATGAAAAATGAAACTCAAGAAACAAAAAAAAAAAAAAAATCTAAGATAATTAGAAGGTAAAACAATGATACAGAACATAATTGCTTAAGGTGGAATTTTAATCTGAGATCCCTTCTTTAAGTCAGCAATCCATTCCAAAAGGACATTTGTTATTTGCATTTCAAAATATGAATTTTTACTAACAAATTTATAAACAGAGTTTTGAAAGAATTAAAAAGACTCTGAAAGAATACCAAATAATTAATTCCTTACTTATTACAGAAAATTATATGAAAAATCAGATTGTTTCAAGTCTGTGATTCCAAAATTGTAGAAAAATCATTCCTTATATTTAACCAATAGCTTAGAACGGCATTTCTCAACAGAGTGCACTTATGTGCCCCAAATGAACAGAAGAGTAATTTATGAATTATTTTTATATTTAAAAAGTTAGAGAAATCAAGCACATGGCTTCCATGTTTAAGTAAAGTCTTTGATATTTTAAATTAGATGCTAAATACCTTAACCTTTAAGGAGTAGATAATCATTTCCCTTCTGTGGAGGATTTAAATTAGTCATTATTGACCTCTCTTAAAAAAGAAAAAAAAAATATATCAGAATCTTCATAAATCCCTTTAAATGAAAACAGTTCTGCTAATCTTTGGGAATGCTAAACCAAAATTTCATGACTTATGTTTTCTTATTAAAAATTAAAGTGCACCCCAGGGTTTTAGTTATTCTACAAGTATGCCCTAAATTATAAATGGTTGAGAAACACTAACTTAAAAGATAAAGAGAAGTAGTGCAAGAATGAATGCAATACACTATGCTGGAACTTGAAAATGAAATCTGTAAAGCAAGTTCACTTTATCTGTACAGCTACCATGCAATACTTACTTCAGTAACCCCGAAGGGAATGTTTCCAACATACAATCGTCGAGCCTGCCGGCTAATAGCACTTCCAGCAAATGGAACAGAAGTGTCTAATGTTAATGCAGCATTGGGAACAGTGATAGTTTGTGGAATTTGTCCTGCGGCTAAAAGAAATAAAAAAAATATGAAAATGGGTTAAAAAAAAAAAAAAAAAAAAAGTCATGCAATTTATTTAAATAAAATCCGACATCATTAAGAGAAATATGATACAAAAGGAAAATCAGTTTTGATTATGGCAGTAAAGGAAATTACCTTGCATAGCTTTATATTGCATTGGGGTTATATGCTCAAAACCTGGAGGGGGTACATCCCAATATTTATAAGGCTTTCTCCTCCTCCTAGAAAAGGATATACGAGCATCTCTTGGAGAACGACTGAAAAAGATTTTAGAAATTATTGAAAACAAGGGGAAAAAAAATTGATATCCATCCTACACACACAAATCTCAAAATTCAAGTCAACATTGCTAAATTCCAACTTAAATGTTAATGTGTTTTTTTAAAGATTACTTAAATATACATTTATAAATACCAATGTTGCATTTTTTCAAATTTAACAACACTTTAGGTTGTAAAGGGTAAGAAATAATTAAATGAAAATGAATGAATTTTAAAGTAGGATTCAACAGGTAATAAAAAAAATGTAATCTTATCTGTATTTTAATTATTCTATTAGCCCATTTTCATCTAATAAACATTAATTTTATTTTATTTACATTATTCAAGTAATACACTAAAATTCACATGTGTGTGTCTTATCAATGGCAGCTATGAAGCATTTTAAGTCAAATTTGGCAGATATTTTTTATCAAAATGTAGCATATTATCACTAGTACAATGTCAGCAAACATCTTAGAAAATTATATTTCAATTTTAGATAAATTGTCTTTCCTACAAGGTTAGCCTAGTATTATATAACTATAATCAAAAATTATAACAAAAAAAACAATTTAGTTTTGAAAGTTATTACAAAATTTAAAATAGAAATAACTTGTTGATATTCCTGCCAGGGGTGGAGGGGTGATATAAATATGATCAGTTGCACTTTTAAAAAATTTATTAAACAATTTTATGAGCAAAAAATTAATTAGACTTACCTCCTGGACCTTCTTTTTCTCCTGTCTGGAGACCTAGATCGTGATCTTCTCCTTTCTTTACTACGTGCCCTATTTCGAGGACTCCGAGATCTGGACCTTCTTGATCTCCCTCCAGGTACTGGACCTTGTTGTTGAGGCCCAGCTTGACCTGGAGGGCCAGCTGGAGATCTACCACGTCTTCGCTCATCTGAAATTATCCAAAGATAAAGTAATTTCAGAAAAACATATTTCCCATTTTAGCTCTGAAGTAAATGAATTACTTTATAATTCTTTAAAACTATCATTATATATATATATATATATATATATATATATATATAATATATATATATATATATAAAAACTGTAGTGTATTAGTTACATTATAACCTAGGTACCTCCATGAGATCGCTAAAAAAAAAAAAGCATAACATGATGAAAAAGACGCCAAACTTGACAAAAACAAAATTTTATCATCTAAATGCTTATGTTATTATTAAGAGGAAAGATCAAAGTTTATTTTAATTATTTTTCAAAATTTTTCCTTCTTTTTAGAATATTCTAAATTTTGATTAAAAAAAAAAAAAAAAAACCTTGTTTCTCTTTGTATCACCAGAACTAGTAAAATCGCATGTACAATTTTTAGCATGTTTTTTTTTTCTTTTGTATGACGCACATTAATTTGGAAAAATCTTGCAAAAATAAAAATAATTGTCAGATGTTAATGTAACTTTCAGAAACTATTCACAGATGATAGAAATTATTATATGTCATGGCAGAAATATTTTTTTTTTAAATTTATTACCCACCTCCCCAAACTAATTTTATGAAAATGCTAGAAATTCAATTGCATCAGGTTTAGTTAAAAGCACAAGGCTTTGAGGAATGCAACTCATGTTTTTTTTTTTTAATTGGACCCCCCCACTACCTGAAAATCAGCTCTGAATTGTAACATACAAAAATCAATAAAACAAAGATATTATTTAATTTCAAATGCTTTTATTTGCTTTTAGTTGTTTTTATGAATATGGACAATATTTTCTGAAAGCAAAAAAATTTTTGACGAAAAATGAATTTTTAATACAATTATTTATTTTTTTTAATTATAATAGATTTTTACATTTAAGTTAAAATATCATAAAATTAGTTAAAAGCCGCATCGGGTTTCCTAAGTGTCCTTATGAGATAGATCTTTTTTTAGCGTGTTGTAAATTGTATCATCATGATTAATCAGAAGATCCGCAGTAATTAAAAAATGTAATTTTGTGTTTATAATCAGGTCGTAATTATAAAGTACGGAAGACCAAGAATACAATTAAGTTGCTTTATTTGAGCTAAGCATTGTTCTCCGTTAAAGGCCTTTTACTTTTTTAAAACACGTGTGGAAAAAGTTAATTTGATTTTCAATTTCAACTGAGAAGGGTACCTACAAGTATCAGTATCATCTTATGAAATTTATATGATCTTTTTATATTAATCTCAGTTATAAGATTTTTCCATAAATGAAATATCAAAATTAATAATAAAATGGATGGAAATACAAATAACACAGTAAAATGTAATAAATGTACATAAAATTATAGTATTTTATGTACACTTCTGATAAAATTTCATAAGAAATGTACCTATAAATTAATTAGATACTTTTCTTATGAAATATGAAATTTATTCTCTCTCCATAAAGCATTGTAAACATAAAGGTGAAAGCTAAGTACAAAAAAAAAAAAGATTATAATGCTGAAAATGTTCCTTAAAAATAACGAGGTAAATAATTTGTTCACTTAAATGTAAATAATTTCACTTTTCTCCTTCCGTAGAACAAATTAGCCTCACAGAATCCATCAATATGTCATTCATCACCTGTCAAGGTGCGCAAAAGTTTATGACCTGCTTTGTTTTATTTTCAAATTTCATCTTTTTGGCGCAGAAGCTAAGTTAAGCTTGGTTCAAAATATTTTAAATAAACATTATAATTTCTGATTTTCTTAAAATAAGTTTTGAAAAAATGATAAATTGATATTTAAAAGAATTTCAAAGTGAGATTTTCATTTTTTTTATAAAATGGAAAAAATGGTTGAAATCTGTCAATTTTGCTGACTAAAAAAAAAAAAAAAAATATTTTAACGAAAATTTCAGACGTGTTAGGAACGATTAAAAAATGTAAAAATATACCTCCGAAATACTTTGATCTTTCCTCTTAATAATAACAAACATTTAGATGATAAAATTTTGTTTTCGTCAAGTTTGGCGTCTTTTTCATCCTGCTATGCTCTTTTTTTTTAGCAATCTCATGGAGCTACCTATTATAACCTATGCTTTTATTTAATGTAGACTGCTCCAAAAGGTCATCATTTAGTATAAAGCATGACATTTCATCAAGATACTCTCGGAATGTATTTCATGATCTTAAATGTTAAATTCACCTAAACACTACTCTTTTCAGAACAAAAGTAACTATATACCTATATTCCCCAATGTTCCACAGAGCTAGCTTTTAATAGAAACTATCACATTTAAAATAATAGGATTGCAACAGATCACTGTACCTAACAGTTTCTACAGGGTTTAAAAAAATAAGTTCATTAATTCAAATTTTTTCATTAAAACCAAAATTGGTAAATCTCTATTTATACTCTTAATTTATGTTAATATACACCAGATCAATCTACACATGAAAAGTAGAAGAGAAAAGACCAAAATATTTTTATTATTTTATTAAATTTTTTAATGTTCAAAATTTCATTTTTCTTATGTCAGTGGTTAAGCCAAAGATTAGTATTGGGATTTTTAGCATCTTTTTGGCTGTTAAAAACAGATTGCTTTGGAAATCCATGCCAAAATCAAATAATTCTCAGATTTTATTGAAAATCCGAGGACTAAATGATTTTTTTTTAAGAAAAATCTGAGTAAAATGAGAAATTAAAATTCACTTTCTTTATATTAGTTAAAAGCATGACTCCATAGAAAACTGAAACCATCAATTTGTTTTTGTCAAACAGAAACACCATTTACCAAAAATCTGCTGTGAATCATAAAATGCAATAAAACTGACATTATTTAACAAAAGAAAAACTTTTAATTGCTTTTATGAATAAGATATATTAAGGACACTATTGTCTTTTAATTTTCTTTGATAAATATTGAATTTTTAGAAGAATTGTTTCCATTTTCTAAATTTTAATTAGAAAAATTTATTAAGTTTTAAATCTTCCATATTAATTTCAGCTTTTTGATATTAAGTGAAAGCTATTTACTAATCATAAATGGAAAAGCTTAATATAAATCTTCAAACAATATTTTTAAAAGAATTTTTAGTTTTTTTGTTTGTGTATAAAAGTGCTGATTTTTTTTTTTTTTTTTTTTTTTTTTGAGTACAGGCTACTATACTGGACAATATCCATAAATTATAGTAAATTTAAAATTCAATAAAACATTAAATTACAGAAATATTTCCCTAAATTTTTAAGATTACTAAACACTTAAAAGTCATATATAAAAGGCACTCACATCATTTACAATTTAAAGATAAACTCCCCATAGAACATTAGATCTGTCATCACATTAACACCTTAAATAAACAGCTACTGTTGGGCTAGAAAAATGCATTTCTTCAATATTTTAAACTTCAAGTAGATATTTGTTTCAAATCAGATTAATTATATTTTAAATCAGCTAATATTTGTCAAATTTTGAGAAAAGTATCTTATTTTTGTAAAATGTTTTAATAAAGAGAATTGTATTGCAATAAACGGACTAAAAACAAAAAAAAAAATCTCTAAAATCACCTTTCTTTGAAAAAAAAAAAAATCTTCTTGTCAATTTTTGAAGTATTGAGAATAAATATTAAACTTAAGCTTGAAATTAAAATTAAATAAAAGTTTCAAGAAAGATTTTTCATTTTTAAAAATTCATTTTAAAACCTTAAGCATTGCAAATTAGTGTAGGTACCTAAAGGCAACAATATCTACTTTCTTTAACCAAACTGTCAAATACACATATGCAGATAGCAAAATATAAACAGTAACACTCAAAGTTAAAATAAAATTAACCTTCCTATCACATTTGTTAGTAAAGAAACAAAAAAAAAAAGGTACATGATTTTTTTTCTCTTCTTCCCCATCAAGTGTTTGAGATTTAGTGTAAGTAAAATTCTATCAGTAGTTAATAGTCAAGTTTTAAATGCAAAATATTCAGATGCAGAACTGAAATTGATGGCAAGAAATAAATAATGAAACAAATAAGTGAAAATTCCATTACAATGAACAGAAAAGGATTCTTCCTTGATATGAAGCTGATCAGAAATTTTATCAAAGTTCAAGAACCTAATTTTGCATTAACTTTAAAACAAATTCAACATTTAAGTAATCTTTATTGCAACATTATTATTTACGTTGAAATGTATACACGAATATTTTGAACTAATGTTAAATTTTTAAAAATTTGAATCAATGGAAAAGTAATTGAAATTACTAGTGATCTGAGATCTATTTTGCTCATCTGATGAAGAGAAATTGCCAAAAATAAATTAGCATCATTTTTTTTTTTAAATTAATGTTGCCAAAATACATGCAAAATGATTTTAACTCGAGTAGGTAGGATTTTATATTAGCTAACATTTAATTTAATTTTTAAGATGTTAGTTTTACTTTTATTATATTTGAAACAGGCCTTCACGATAAAAACTGCCCTTGATGTGGAGAATCAATTTCAAGTTTTCTACTCAGTAAAATTTAACCAGAAAACAAACAATCGAAAAATACATTATTTACATAACAAACAGCAACAGAGGTTTGGGTAAATGTCGGAATGAAATAGTAACCTTTCCATCAGTTATTTATTATTTAACCATTGTTAACACTAACACTAATTATACAATAAAAAAATAAAAAATTCTGACATGATGTACGAGAAACATCAAAATTTCTCAACCTCACCATTAATAAGGCCATAAAAAATAAATTAAGAAAGTTTCTATTTTGGCAAGTAGGTTGACCAGGTAACATTTCTGCAGCCACTCGTAATTTTTATTTTCATCAATTGCTAAGTATTTTGAATCAAAATATTTTGAAAAGTGCAAGTTAAAGTACCATTGATTTTTATTTTAATTAGCAAATTCTATTTTTTCTTAAATAAAAAAGAATCCCTAGCAATTCGTAAATCATAGTTTTACTATTCATCAATTACAAAATACAAGCAAAGCAATTAGCAAAAGTATATCAGTATGTGTCCGGATAACGGGTTGAGTCCGACAACGTGTGATTATCTTATTTTTTCATAAGTTAGATCAGAAATCTAAAATCGCTTTAATTACTGATTTTCTTAAATTTATTTTACTAGTTTAAACTTTAAAATCATTAAAAGAAAACCTAAAATTATTTTTTCTTCAAAAATGTCAAAACTCAAAACGCATATAAAAACAAAATAAAAATATGTGATCACGAAAAATACAAAGAATTTACAAACAAAAACAAAACTAAAAAGATCATAGCCAAGAATGTTTGTTTTTTTGCTGAAGTTTTTCAAATCCTTGAAAACATTTTTTATTACACAATCTAACTGATATTTACAGTACTTACTTAACCACAATTAAAAAGGAGGAATTGTACGTAATATTTTCTTTAAATTCTTTAATTGACATAATAAAATAGGTTACTGGATCGAATCTAGTTTCTATTACTTCTTCCTTGCTGTAAGGCTGCCCCTGAATAAGCTCATCGTCTAAGAAAGTAAAGTTATTGTTCAAGAAATTTAAGACAGTTTGCGTTAGATTGCTTGGGATGATCATTAAAGCACCATGATTGGTAAACATTAAAACACATGGGTTATACCGTTATCAGTTACTTTTATCAAAAAAAAAAAAAAAAAAAAAAAAAAAAAAACACAACTCTCAAGTCTTCTTCCTACAATTACTGCTAAAGTTTCTTGATACCAACTCAAGCAACTATTGTTGTTCAGTTAATCATGGCCGATCAGGACTAAGGAATTACCCTAAATATCATAGATTAAACAATTAAAACAGAATATTTATATTTATTTTATTGAAGTTTTAACAGAAGAATAAAGTTATCAACATTGGAAATTATGATCGGCGTATATTTTTACAATAAAACAAAATAAAAGTAATTTAATTTAAAATAGCCCAGTTGGGCTTTTTTTATTATTTGCTTAAAATCAAGTGTCTTATATTAAAATTCGAAACTACATTTATTTACTAATGCTATAAACAACAAAATTGATAGTTGTGATCACGGTGTAAATAAATGGGAACCTGTTTCTGAAATAAAAACAAAGTCTAATAAAGAATTTTTTTTCTTTCCGGCAGCCGGCAATTAGATCAGAACACGAGGAGACGAAATGCTAACATTTTTTTGGCATATCTATTCTAATCAATCAAAAATATGGAAACATTAAATTAATTGCATTTAAATTTCTTATAAAAAGAGAAAAGAAAATAATTAAACAGTAAACTATGCATAAAATAAACAACATGCATTAAAAAATATATTTATAAGCTAAAACAACTGCTGCTACTCAAAAATCTCTTCAATTTTAGGGAGTACACAGCGTAAGATTTAAAACAAATAACAAAACAAAATAATCAAAAAGTAATATTTACCGGCGGCTCTGTTTTCAGCTATCTGTCTTTCAAATTCAAGGTACTCAGCATCCGTCATGATGATATACCTTCAATACAACAGCAGTTTTAAATATTGATAAAAATTCTCACTAGTAGCGAGACGCCTAATACAATATGGCGATGAATTTTTCTTCTCTTTAGGTCGTTAGATTTTAACAGGAAGTGAACTGCATGATGGGAGTTTCTACTACAATAACAGCAGGACCAACACAATAGAATAGAACAAGCAGTAGAATAAAGTTATTTTTTTTTTTTAAATAAACATTCGCAAAAAATGTGTTTTTTATTTTTCTATTAAAAAATAAGCATACTTTTTTAATTGACGTAACTTTTTGAAACAAAAATAAAAATTATAATGTCGACACAAAATTGCGCCATAAAACAAAATCAAAAAGGAGGCTGTAGTCGTGTATTTGCGGAGGACTATTCAAAAAATAGCCAAATTGAATTTAAAATTTGCAATGAAGGTTTAACTTTTGTAATATTTTTTCAATATATAAAACTTGTGGAATGCACTTCATAAAGGAATTTTATCAGTAATTATTTACCATAAACTAAAACGTTTTTTACATTACTTCTCTAAAAACTTAGAAATTTTATTTAAATGTTTTGTTTTATGGCCTATGAGATTTTTTGTGTCCACCGTCCACGCAATCGAAATTCTCAACTGAACAAAGATATCAAGGCCCATTCGCCCACGCTTTATTAAGAAATAGTTTTTTTTATTATACAATATTAAATGATTTTAAACATTTTTATTTCTTATGACCGCTTCTTTTAAAATTTAAATCGAATGATTTTAAAAACAATTTTTTATTATGACCGCTTCTTTTTTTTAAATACAAAAATTAAAACTAAATGTAAAAAAATGTCAAAATGGATAGGAAGATTGTGCTGTGCCAATATAGAGTCAAAAAATAAAAATAGAATAAAAACCTGATATTTGCTATGCTATGAAGAAAAAAAAATAATCACTGATGCCGGTAGAAAATAAGCAACTTTCTGATGGACCTTTTTAAATTTAATTTTTTTTGTGTGTGTATGCTGATTTGTTACCCCATATTTATTTTTTTTTAACTGAATAAAAATTGGGTTCTTATTAAAAAAAAAATGAAAAAAGTATAATTTAAAAAAATATTTAAATATTTTCTTTTAAAATAAAAAAAAAAAAATAACAACGTACAAATTGTCTCTCTATTTCTGCGATGAGGTATTGATTTTGTAATTATTTTTAAATTACAACATTATCTCGGACTGTTGTCCTCATCTGTATTCTCATATTCACAACGTTTCGGCCGTTGTACGCTCCGACCTTCTTCAGGTGAGTAGATTTTCGAATTGAAACCTTCATTTCGTCCACCGGGGTAGATTGTTCTCTACTTCCATGTGCCGAACTGAACCCTTTATTATTTCGTCCACATGCACGCGGAACTTGAACAATCTACCCCAGTTGACGAAATAAAGGGTTCACTTCAAGATCGCCGGGGTGTACAACGGCCGAAACGTCGTGCATATGACAACTAAAGATGAGGACAACAGTCCGAACAATGTACAAATTGCTTTTTTAAAAGTAAAAAAAAAACTATTTAGTTAGAAGAACTAACTCAACAATATTAAAAGAGTAATGACCTATATTAACATCTTTATCTTTTTTTCTGTCCTTTTTACATGTACCTTCGAACTATAGACGCTGACGACTGTACCTTTTATTTTTAGCTTTTTTTAGTTTGTCTCATCAAGCAGCATCTATTTGAATAAATCATATTTAGAGGAGTCTTTTTTTTAATGTGCTATCCCTTCAAGATGTGAGTGATCATGGCATTCACAACTTTGTATTTCCTTTAACTTTTAAGCAATGTTTATCTCCTTACTATCTCTATTCCTTCCTGTTATGCCATCCATGTATGTACACAAGATCATTAGGTAGGTTACTCAATGCTTCCCTTTGCCCCTCTTGCCATCAGTATGTTCTGTGAGTGTCAAATTCTCTAAGCCCTTTTTTCTCTGTGCCCCAGTTGTCTCTTTCTGATTCTAAGTATAATTGTCCTTTCTGTTCCTATTTTCTTTAAAACTTTCTTATTGCTCACATGTTTAGTCCATGGTATTCTCAAAATCCTTCTGTAGAACCATATTTATATCTGTTGCCTCAAATCTCCTCTTCAGCTGTAAATTCTCCATCAGTGAAGATCTTTATACTTAGAAAGAATACTGCACAATCCACTGATGACAAAGAGATACACTGAGATTTTGTTACATGTCAATTATGTTTTCAACCATTTAAAAAAAAACAAATAAATGAATAACTTGCAACAATTGCTGGGAATTACCTTTCTTCCTCAGTGGGAGGTTTGATTTAAAGAATAAATCAACAGACCCAAAGGCTTTGAAATCTGTCAAACTGATGCATAAAACTTTGCCTATGCTTTCAAAGAATAAAAAAAAACTACTCTATATAGTAATTTTTCAAATGTAGCTTAGATGTGGCACAAGGCAGAAATTAAGGGGCACCAAGTAAGGATCAAACTCAGTACTCAGTCGTAAGTGTTCTAGCAAGACAAGCTTGCTAACCATTACACCACCTCGAGGTGCCCCCCACAAAAAAAAAAAATACTCTATATATGTTCATCTTTGAAACAAAAAATTGACATTCTGGTTAGCAACTTGAAAAAAAAACATAATTTGCAAATTTTTGTAATTTTATTGCAATGCTCTTGATAAATTTCAGTTGATTTATCTAATCACAAGTTATCATGATCAGAGTTTTATTACTGAAATACCATCATTGGGTTTGCCAAATATATGTGAACATCCACGGTAATATCTGCCGTCAATACAAATATTTATCCAAACATCTAAAATAAAAATGGCTAAGGGAAAGTTGGAAGAACAAAAATGAAGACTTTATTTTCTAGGAAGAGAACGATCTAACAAAGTGTAGAAATGTGTTACTGAATCTGAAAAAGAAAGCTAGTGGATTTTACAAAAGACTGTCTTTCAACATCTGTCTATATTTCTGAGATGAGATATAGTAACTAATTACGTTGTTTGGACTGTTGTCTTCATCTTTATTGTCATATTCACAATGTTTCAGCTGTTGTATGCCCCAGCCCTCTTCAGGTGATATATATATTGGAATTTCAAACTGAACACTTTAGTATTCCACTGGGTTAGATTGTTCTACTTCCACATGCCATGCCTTTTCAGGATATCTCAGTTTCAGTTAATTCCCTTTAGTAACTCAACTCTCTCCAAGTTTTTGTTCACCTCTGCTGTGGCCAGGTATTGAACTCACAACTCTTTGGGTTAAGTCACTGGATTACTTCAACCAACATTTTTATCCACTGGGTCATGTGTCCTCACCTGAAGAAGGACGGACTATATAACAGCGAAAACATTGTGAGTATGACAATAAAGATGAGGACAACAGTCTGAACAATGTAAAAAGTCAGTCTTTATTCACAAATACAAAGGGTAAATAAAAAATAATACAATAGACTAGGTTTGTTTATTACACTTTCTTTTGAGGGAATATTTAAAAATATTAAAAGAAAAAAAGTTCCTAACACATATTTAGATATAAAAAAAAATATTAAAATGAAGCCAGATGATTAGTAAAAAATGGCTTGAATAAAATTTGATGTGTAAAATTCTGTGTATGTGAAGCTCGAATTCATTTTATAGAAAAAGTAACTGCTAAAATGAAGCTTGATGCATTATGAAAGATATATGTATAAAATATGGTTTTCAAATTTGTAAAAAAAGGAGGTTCAATCTTATTTTATTTATCCAAAATAAAGTTTGCAAACAGGTGGGATTTAAAGAGATACACTTTGAGATTTTTTAACCAATGGGGAAAGTAAGTTATGAATTTCTGATTCAATTCAAAGCCAATTTGTGGCTATTTAAGAAGTCTGGTTTGACTGACAGACAGGAAGGTTTTGGCATTCACAAGGAAGACGTCAGCTACTTCTGGGAGATAAACTTAGATGAAAAAGAAAGCAGAATGCAGGAGGGCTTCAGCATTCACAAGGAAGATGTTAGCTGGTTCTGAGACCAGAACAAAAGAAAACGTAAGAGTCGCTGCCAACGACAAAAAGAAAGAAGCTGAAAGCAAAAAAAAAATAACAGAGGAAAAAGAAATAAAAGCTGAAAGACAAATTCTACAAATTTAGAAATATACAATTATATTTCTAAAGTTGTTTGTGAAAATTCATCATGGAAATAGAGGTATTAACCTTGATTTATGAAAATACAAGATTTATCTCATCTTAATTTGTAAAACTGCATTATTGACTGAACCAGTGGTTCTCAACTGGGGTCCACTTTAAAATGGTTTATTATGAGTTATTTTACTAGTGTACATAAATGTACCATAGAATTTAGTTGTTAAATACAAGTTTATTTTCATTAGTTTTACTTCAAAATAAAGCATATACATTTACTATTCCTATAATACAATTCCTAAACTTATCTATTAGTAAAAAATAAAATAAACTTTTTTTTCATCAAATGGTTATGGGGGTCCACCAAAAAAAATTAAGAGTAAAAGTGATCCAGGCATAAAAAAAGGGTAAAAAGCACTGCTAAACAAACCAGAAACCCAGTGAATCATCAACCTTCTCAACTCCTTTCAACAGATGAATGAAGTTAGTAAACATTTTGTGATAATAATTACAATTGTTTTGAGCTCAACAGAATTTTAATTAGAATTTGTTATCTTGTTTAATTGTTTGGTGCACAAAGAAAAATTTTTGTGCATGCTTTTGTAAATGTTGTACTATTATTAATTTGTCATTTAATAAATGTAAAATTCACCACACTAAGTGTTACTACTGTGATTTCTGTAGTAGTTTTTTTAAAAGATTGAATTGCCTGTTCACAAAAAAGTGGATACTTTCCACAAATATTTAAAAACGTAGAAATATAAACATGTCAAAAAAAATTGGGGAAAAAAATAGAATGTCTGAATTTGGCAATTCTCAACTCCATTCTGTCTCAGTTAATATACCCTTCCCCTATATCTGTCTATATCTCGGA